TGAACAACTGATGGACTCTCTTTAAAGAAGAAAAAGAAAAAAAATTCTCCTGGACCCCCAGTGTGGATCCCAATTTTTAACTTTATAATAAACAGTTGTTTAAACCTAGCTAAGATTCTGGCTAATGTGGATAGTTTCCCAACTTTCATGAGCTTTTTTTCCCAAGCTCATGATGACTCAAGTCTCATTAAAAAAAAAAAAACTTGTGAAATTTGTTCATGCATTGAGTCTTCTTTTCTCATTGTTTTCTGATAAAGAAACGATACTGTGGACCCCAATAGGGTTGATAGCACTAGTGCAAATTCCTGCCTGAGGTCCAGTGTCATGCCGGTCTATAAGGTAGCATTCAAGTCATTCAAAATGTGCTTCTGTAGCGATCCTTTGGAAAGCCTTCGTAGAAAGCATGAAAATCTCTCTTACTACCCCTTACAGTCTGATGATGCTCTCTTCAATGCAGAGACCTTTTGTCTACCCCCTAGTCCTTGCCCAAGACCCACCTGACTTCTCCCCTCTCATGCCTTTTGTTATACACGAGCAAGGCATCCCGTGAAAACCTTTTTATTTTTCATTGTCCCTTTGAGGGCTTATATCAGTGCATTGGATCTTTTCTCCCAACTCCGTTCACTTTCGTGATCTCTCAACTCCCACACTCCACCTTTTAAACAAAACTCGCTTGGCTCTTGCCCTGTGGGGGAATTTAGTTATTCCCAAAGCAGAGTTTTCATTCAAAGACTTCTCTCTTCAAATTCAGCTCTGTTTCTTGTCAACATTACACCAAAGCCTCTCTGTTTAGCTTCCTCTCCAGCCTTTGTTCTTCTAAGACAGCAGAGGCAGCTCCAGCCCTAGGACTAAGGCATTCCCAGAGGGACCCCCTCCAATCCCAGATAATCTCTTAACCTTTCAGGGACTTGTTTTTCTGTAAAATGGGATAGTAGTTCCATTGCAAGACTCTTGTGATGCCTTTCTAAAATACAGTATATGAAGCCATACTTAAATCCCATTTTCATTATGAATTTTGACTTGAAACTATTTGTCCAGTTGTTTTAAAGTATTTTCCTTCTAGGCCTTCAGAATTTTCTCTGAGCATTCTCTTCTTTTTCTTTTGGCTTCTCGTCACTTAACTTTTTCTAATTAATTATTCATCATTTAGCCATTCTGTCATATTTGGATGCAATATTGACATCTTGACAGTTGATGTCAGACTTGTTGGGGCTGGGGAGCTATTTTGGGATAAGATGACTCCCTGAAGATACCATAGAAATAGCTGAATAGCTGATTTAGCTGAAAAGTGGGAGAAGAGTGGAAGGAAACAAAGAATGGGGGACAGAAAAGAACAGAATCTAGGTCAAGGTGACCGGAAATCCTGAAATAATGAATGAATGCAACAGGAATCAGAGGCGACTATTACAATAGACTCAACTGGGAATCCCCAGTGATCCTGAGGAAATGTTGAGCCTCCACTGGTGATGGGATGGAGATGAGGAGAGATGGGGTGGGTTTGAAGCAATCTTTCATATTCAGAAGGGGATAGTGACTCTGGCTGACATCTAGACTTTTTTTTTTTTTAATCTTTTTGAGACAGGGTCTCAAATTTATTTACTTTTATTCTTGTTCTATCCCATGTTTTTTGGAGTGGCCTCAGAAATAGTTCTCTATCTCCTTTTCCTCAGCAAGAGCTCATTTCCATGCTTCTGTTCTGCACGCTTGCTTAGTCATTGCAGCACCTTGTTTACCTTGCACCTTCCTTCGGTCTAAAATTCATCTTATGTTCCATCTTCTGCTCTCCATAGCTCCAGCTTCACTGGCTCAGCTGTGTGTCTTCTCTTTATTTGTTTGCTCTGACTCTTGCAACTAGCATAGCAGTGGCAGTCTCCATTTTATGGTGAAACATTCTTGGCAGCTTATAAAAATATTACCCTTTAATATAAGAAGACAAAAGGTATTCTTAAAAAAGTATTGCCTTTGCTCCCTAATATTTGTGAACATTCTGTTTGCACAGAGGGGAAAGACAAAGACACGGGGAGAGAAATAAGCGACAGAGAAGGCATAGTCATAGAAGGGCTTATCTCTTAGAGATAACATGCTAAAACATTTCTGGACGAAAGTATGTATTTGGAACTTGCTCCAAAATAACCCAGAAGGAGAGAGGGGAAGAGAAGAAGGAAGGAGGGGACTGTAGGCCATAGCTGAAATGATACTGGCCACATTGTTGAGACTGTGTGATGGATACATGAGAGTTTAGTAGTTATATTGATCCAAACTTTGAGGATGTTTGAAAATTTCATACCAAAAAGTGTAACTCAAGTCTGTTTATTATAGTTCTGCATTATGACTATTAATCTTCACAGTTACACAGTTTTTTCTTTTTAAAAAATTTTTAAAAATCCTTTTATTTGAGATTATATGTACAAACCTCAAAAACATTATGCAAGGTAAAATAATCCATGCACAGAAAAACAAGTAAGCACAATCTTGCTCTTGTGTAGAATGTATAAACCACATAGCAGAAAGCACAATACTGACAAAAACGGAGGATATGGGTCAAAGGACACAAGGCTCAATAACCTACTGAATTTTTGTGGTTTTCATACAGCATAATTTGATTATATTTAGATTCATCCCCTATGCACACCTCTGACAGTAACACACAGTATTTTTTTTCTGAAGAGACAGATATTACTTATATATATATATATATAGGCCTATAGAGTTTGATTTGTGTTTCCAAATGTCCTTCAGTGTGGACATTTGGAGCTCCGCTGGAGCCTGGTCAACCTACCAAGAGTCCCATCCCTATAAGAGACTGTTTCTCCACCTTCCAGCAGCCATCAGCTGTTGAAAGTTCCTTAGGTTGGGTTGGGATTTCTTACCCACTTCCACATGTCTATGCTGGGATTTTGTCTGGTTTGAGCTTTCAAGGGATTTGACTGCATGTCATTCTTTCTCAAAGCATGCCTCAACTCTTGCTTCCTATTGATTTGTTGGCACGCCCGTTCTCTTTGTTCTATTGCTGTCCCTGCCACCAGGTACAGTGTCTTACCAGTTTTTGTATGGCAATTTCTATCATATTTTATTGAACTGAAATGAGCAGAAGAAAAAGTATCTGCCAGTGAGCCCCTAGCCCACAGTTACCCTCCCCCATTGCCATGACTCTTTCTGAAACTGTGATACTAGGAGCTCCTGAGTGGAACCACAGTCCATCTGTGCAGGATTTTACTCCCTGGGTGGGAGAGAAGCCCCTTTGGCTTTCTGCATACATGGGCATGTTACTGACTCAGTTCTGGATCTAAATGAATGCTTGTGTCTTCACTGTGTTGTGTGCCTTTGAGTGGCCTCTCACTACATCCTTCATCTCTGGACAGAGAGAATGATGCTCTTCTTTGCTTCTCACTTCCTTCAGGGGCTGGTCCCATCTCATCCCATGTTTGTTTGCCATTTCCCTTATGCTTCCCATATTTCTTCCCTATCTCCCTCCAGCCGAAAAGCCTTAGCAGTCCTCTGAATGCTCTGTGCTGGGCTTCACTTCCATTGCAGCTCATCACTTACTCTTGTCACTCTGGCAGTTTCTGCCTTACTCCCTCTACTCCTCTTTAAATAGCCTTTTTGAATCTTAGGAGTCATTTTGTCTTCTTTGTGGAATAGAGGTTTTAATTGTTTCTTTTTTAAAATTAAAAAAATTTATGTGTGTGCGTATATTGCCTGCATGTAAGTGCACCTGTGTCGTGCAATGCCCACGGAGGACAGAAGAGACTATCAGATCCCCTGGAATTGGAGTTATGGACAGTTGTTAGCTGCCATGTGGGTGCTGGGATTCGAACCTGGGTCTTCTACAAGAACATGCGGTGTTCTTAACTGCTGAGCCATTTCTCCAGCCCCCTGGAACAGAGGGTTTAATTGGGGAGCCTTGTATTGTTTTGTCCATTTGACAAGAATCAGAGAGGATACATGGTTTAGTCAAGGTTTCAGAACCAGTGAGGGTCAGAAGTAGAACCTTGTCTCTTCACTCTTTCTGACAGTAGCCTCAGAGTACTGGGGTCTGGATTAAGTCAACATGGGGTGCCTAGTACTATTTTACTGATTAATGCTGATATTGACTAAAATCTTGATATTGTCTCAAATAATTTTCTTATTTCTGAAAAAAAATCCTATCAATACAGAGGAGGAAGTAAGGTGGCGTACAGTTTCCAAAAATCACTGACTGACTCAGTACCAGACACTAGAGGATGATGACTTCAAAAATGGTGGGCTAAAGTGTGGATATTCTTCCTCCCTCTAGTAATGAATGTTGGATAACGGGACCAGTGAGGTGGGCAGAATGGTGGGACAGTGAATGACAGCTCCTTCTGTGAGGAAAGGATGTAGTTGTCCCCTTATGGCCCGAGTACAAGTGCAAGTGCGCTGTGTGGTGGAGGGGTAGGAAAGCTAGGGAGGGCTTGGTTATGGCAGAGCTTTCTTTTCTCACCACACTCTTGAAGGTGGTCAACTACAGTGAACTATAGTTTCATGATCTTCCCCAGTTTGGAGCATTAGCTTTTTGGGAGACTCAGCAAATCGGCTGAAACTATCTTTGGAAGAGAATATGCCTGTAGTCAAATTACCTTCCATCTTTGATTCCTTGGAAGAGAAAAATATGTTTGTAATCCATTTAATTATTTTCCTTTCTCTTTTTGAACCTCCAAAACTATGTATTTTTTTTGAGAAACTAAGAAAGACATTTCACTTCAAGTAAAAACTTGACCATCCTAAGACAGATAAATTGAGAAGTACTCCTTACATTTGCATAGAATTTTGTGTTTGCAAAACTCAATGTGGTTCTCTCTAATCTTTGCCTACAAGGAGACCCAAGCATATGTGCAATAACTCAAAGTCAGCATTCAGGAGGTAAGCACTGACCCAGGTGGCAGAGTGAAGTAGGCATTCTGCATTGTTCAGTTACTCTACAGAGTTACATATACAAGTATCAGTGGGATCCTGATATGGACTGAAAAGAAGTTCAGGAATGTATTAGATTTACAATTTTGGAATTTTTATTATCTAAAGTGAAAAAGGAAGATACAAAAGCTGTTTTATTTACCAAGCGAATATAGTAGGCCTAAGAAAGTGTTGGTCCTTTTTGCTAAGCTGTCAGATGCTTGAGGAAGTTGGCCAAATGCTGCATTTTATATCCTGGCTTAACATTTCCGAGGCTGCTGAATCATGTAGATCCTTTTCAGCGGAGGGGCCTTCTCCAGAGCAGGCGTGGGTTTTTGATGTGCCATGTGAACTGTTGCTGGAAATTTATGGTTGAGCTAAAAGGCGAGAAGGGAAGAGGAAGTAAGCATATTGAATCTTTTTGGTCATGAAATATTAAAGTAGTAGGAAACAATGTAGTTGGCCAGGGGATTTCAGAAGTTCTTTATTTCTTTGATAATTTCTTTCTTCCATAGCACTTCCAGTCCTCAGTCCACAAGAGTAAGTGTTAAATTGTTGTTATTGTCATTAATGTGGTTTTAATTTTTGTAATTATAAGAATACATGATGGGGCTGGAGATATGGCTCAGTGATTAAGAGCACTGGCTGCTCTTGCAGAAGACCTGGGTTCAATTCCCAGCACCCACACGGCAGCTAACGACTGTCTGTTAACTCCAGTTCTAGAGGAATCCAACACCCTCTTCAGACCTCCTCGGGCATTGCATGACATGGGTGCACTTACATGTGGGCAATACACTCATATACATAAAATAATAATAAATGAAATATTTTTTTAAAAAAGAAAATAACCATGGTGAATGGGTTAGATAGTGAGAGAGAAAGGAGAGATAAATGATGCCTAGTTTTTAAAAACAAGAGGAGGGGCTGGAGAGATGGCTCAGCGGTTAAGAGCACTGACTGCTCTTGCAGAGGACCCAGGTTCGATTCCCAGCACCCACATGGTGGCTACAAACCATCCTTAACTCCAGTTCCAGGGAATCCAAAGCCCTCTTCTGACCTCCGCGGCACTGCATGACACGGGTGCACTCACATGCAGGCAATACAGTCATACACATAAAATAAATATAAAAAATAAAAAAAACCCAAGAGGGAATCATATTACTCCAACAATCTAATGACAGACTACACATAATTTCTCCATGGGTCCATGTGTATAGCTAAAGGCTACATAACAAGAAATAGTGCCAGACGGGAGAAACCTTCCTTTGATTTGTTGGCCAGGGTGGTCCAAAAGACTCCTGAAATTACTCAGGCTATGCCCTTGATGACCTCCCAGAACTTGAAGGTGAGACCCTATTGCTGAAGACAGGACATAATTCAGACACAGGATTTGGAGCGCTAGAGTTGGAACTGACCTGAAACCACCTCCCCTGAAGGCTACCTCTCATAGCTTTGGAGAGTGCTATGAAGGTACCAAGGGAAAACATTAATCGGTAGTCCAACACCAGCTTCAAGACCAAATAACCACATCAATGGCTAACACAGCATACAATATATATGTGCAGTAGTGTCACTTTTATCTTGGGGGCAATCAACAGCTGCTTAATTGGACTAAAATCCTACTCAGTGGAAGGAAACTCAAGTGTGGTACTATAAACATAAACAAATACACGTGGCTAGAGTGGTCATAGATCTTACACTAGTTGGAGACTATTACCAAGTACCACAACTAGTCATACAAGGACATTGTGTATGAATTGCCCAGTCCTAAATGACACATCTACAATGAAACCTCTATACCTAAGGCTCATGGAGCACAGAACAGGGGTAAAGAAGACACTAATGAATCTCTCAGTTCTCATTAATGAAGATCCCTCATTCAGTGGAGGGCCAGGAACACAAAAGTTAACAAATGGCGAAAGTATAGAGATCAAGAGCCTGCTGAATGCTGGTCCTTGAATAGGACTCCTTTATTAAACTATACCCACCCAAGGCTCAGGGACCATCTCAGAAGAAGGGGCAGAAAGATTGTAAGAGCTATGGAGGAAACTGAGTCTTACAAACTCCTGGGAATCTGCTCATATAATTCTATGACAATGGTGTCAGCATACACAAGTCCCATGCAAACTCAGGTAGACTAAAACCCAGTATAGAGCTGGGAAAATGAACAGCAGGCCCCAATCTTATCTGAAGAAATATTGGCAACTGATTGTTGCTAGGTGAAGAAGAGCTGATCTTCCTGAAACAAGGGACTCTAGATAGGCTGACTAGACCTCAGTGGATGGACTTGCACTAGGGAACATCTGGGGACACTGACTTGACAACAGTGAACCTTAAAAGGGATCACAGAATATATGGGCTCCAGTGGAGGGCTTATAGGAGGGTGCTGGTGGGGACAGGGGTATAAATATGATTAATATTGATTGAGATGTTCTGTATGAAATACACAAAAATTCAATGAAAATAAACTAAAAAAAGAATATATGATATATATGAGAAAAGAAATAATATATATGTGGATTTATATGAATATGATAATCTTTTGCTTTGTTTTTGAGACAGCGTCACTATGAAGTCTAGGCTGGGTATAAACTCATGATCCTACTGCCCCAGCCTACTAGGGGCTAGGATTACAAGCACGTGCCACCACACCAAGCTCTATATTTGTTTTGAAGTCACATTTTGAAAAACAGAAATAATTATATCAGTACTAGTGTTCTGTAATATTAGCAATTATTCTACACTAGTCTCTGTGATATGGGCCCCTATATTATAAGAAGGATGTGGGGACATTAGGAAAGGTTCTGAGGAGGGGGGAGAATTCAAAAGATCAGAAATAAGGGGCTAAAGAGATGGCTCTGCTTTAAGAGCACTTAGTGGTCTTTGAAAGGACCCAGGCTCGATTCCCAGAACCCACATGGTGGCTAACAACCATCCCTCCAGTCCCAGGGGATCTGATGCCCTCTTCTGGCTTCCATGGGCATTGGATGCACTTACAAACATGTAGGCAAAACACTCATACACATAAAAATAAATAAATACATAAATACATTAATAAATATATTTTTATAAGATAAAAAAAGAAAAAGCCTCTGAAAGAAGTTAGGAAGCATCGATTTATTCATTAAGACAGTGCATATGAAATTTTAATTTTTAGCAAATAGCATATTAGTGATTCCACTTGGTTCAATCCAAATAGTCTGGTGAAGGAACACTGAAGAATGACATTAATTTCATGTAACAAAAGTTCTCATTAGTCAACTGTGAGATATTGGGCTTACATGCATTTAAATCAGCACAGACTGAGACTTTTTGACATTAAGAGGTATTTCCTATGGACCAAAAAATCCTGTGAAATTCATGTTCAGGGCAGCTTAAGATGGGGAGGGTGCCAAAGCCACTGAGTGCTTTGCACATAGATTTCTTAGGAAGAGAGTTTGGATTCAGTGACCTTTGGTCTTGTTCCAGATTTGGGTTTTCCAGCCCATCAATACTGTCTAAAAGTTCCTCAAGAACACCTCTCTCAGTCAGTGAGGAAATGGGGCCTTAGCTTAGCAGGCATTTAATTTATGACTATTGAAGTTAAAGGCCCTTGCTTTGACACTCAAATTAAGTAAAAGAGGAGATAAACTGTCATTACTCCAAGCATCACATTGTTTATGGCTTGTTTGGGTTCTTCCATAACAGAGAAACCACATATGCCTTACACCTCTTCTCAAATATCCCTGTCAAGCTGTGGCTCATAGCAGTACCTTTCATGTGAAACTTGAGTCTGAAAAGTCCTTCTTAGTCTTAAAAAAACAACACTGGAAGAATATACTGGGCCCTGTTATAAAGCTTATCTCTGGGGGACTGAATCATGGGGAATTCCTAGTCATGTTTTACTTATAAGCACTTTTCTATTTTGTCTTTTACATTGAGTAGGCACAAGTTATATACTAATTAACCTCAAGGATGGTCCCTGGCTGATGTTCCAGCAGAATGAATTAACATAATTCAGTGTTGGTTATAAGGGTTGCTTTAGAGTCTGAAAAAAGAGTTGAGACCTTTTTTTCCCTTTGGCAGAGCAATTACCATTAGTGCATATGACATGCATTTTATAGTGTAGTAGGGAAGAATATTTTGTTTTGTTTTTCTTTAAACATTAGAACCGAAAGGAAATTTCAGGGCTCATCGACTTCGGGAGTTTGTTTCCAGATTGAGTACCTTTAGTTTCATTGAAAAAAAAAAAAAGATTATTTCAGGTTAGGTTTAGATCATATTTTAAATTTTCAGGTAGGAACAAAATCTGGTGAGTCAAATGTAAGGTAAAGGGGTGAACGAGGAAATAAACAAGAGACTCTGGTGGAACAGAGGTCTGGGCAATTAGCCAAGACAGGAGGGGTAAGACAGCAAGTTGGGACAGGAAGGGGAATGCCACATGTAGGCCCTTGTTCTCTAGGTGTGAGAGGTGATGGGTGGAGACAGGAGACCACAGGAGAGAACAGCTCAGCGCTCACTTCCTCTTAATTCAGCACTAATTTGTTATTTGGTCATGTTCTAAATAATCTCTAAACTTTAGGGGACTCCATTTTTTTGTCATTTAAAAAATTGTGATAAAATATGACATAAAATCAATCATTTTATCCATTTTTGTTGTATTACAGCTCAGTAACATTAGATTCATTCATATAGCTGCACTATCACAACTACTGTTCATCTCTAGAACTTTATCATTCCAAACCGAAACTTGGTGCCCATTAAGCAATAACTCTCCATTTCTTCCCCAAGTCCCTGGCAACCACCATTTACTCTATGAGTTTCTATGAATTGTACTGTTCTAGGCATCTCATATAAGTAGAATTCAGGCACTAGTTATCTGTGTATGGCTTCTTTCACTTAGCATAAGGCATTCAAGGTTCATTCATTGCTGTTACAGCATGTGTCAAAATTTCTTTCCTTTTAAAGGTAATATTCCATTTTATACCACATTGTGTTTCTCCATTCATCAATCCATAGACATGCTGGGTATTTTGCATTTGTGAATGATGCTACAATAAACACTGGTGTACAAGTGTCTGTTCAAGTCCCTACCTTCAAGCTTATTGAAGAATTGCTATATTATTTTCCATAGTGGCTGTGCCATTTTCCATGCCCATCAATGCACAAATATTAAGGATTTATATATTAAAATGTTTTTTGATTTATTTATTTTTATTTTATGTGCATGAGTGTTTTGAGTGCAGGTGTGTAAGTGCACCATGTGCATGTAACGCATGTGGAGGTCAGAAGAGGGTGTCAGATCCTCTGAAACGGTTGTTAACCTTGACACTGGTACTGGGAATGGAATCAGGTCCCCTGTAAGAGCAGCCAGGACTCTTAACCACTGAGCCATTTC